CGTACTAATATAATATTTATTGTTGCAATAAACATCGTAATAATATAATATCACCTCTGGCACAATCTCACGATGGCAAGACAACGCGACGGTAGTAAAACAATCGTACTCTGGGCATTCTCGGATCCTATTCTTCAACATATCTTCCGACTTCATTACGGCGGTCTTACCGTTCTATCAACCCGCAACGGTTTCTTTTTTTCTATATGTGTATATATATATAATATATATATATATATATATATATATATACACATACATATTTCTAACAATAAATCTAAAGCCCGCGGGCTTGTTCCATGTCGCCATTTACGTTATTTAAGTACGATATCGAGACAGTCCAAAAAATCGTCGCAAGGAGACCCCGAAAAAAATCCACGTACACAAGTTTACAGCCTCCAAAAAAGCGGAAGCGATGACAGACAGAGAAACGCGATTTCCAATTGCCACCGGCAATGATCGGCATGATCGATGTTTCCTCGCGACGACGCTGGTCCGTCCGATTTTTATAACGTAGATAATAATATTAATAATCGTAAGGATAATAAAGGGATAATACTATTATAATGAAATGGCTTGATGAGAAAGCCGTTCGTTCACGTAAAGAGTCATATTTTCTGACGTCATTTCGAGATGCAACGGCAGCGATCAAAGGACACGGGGATGATGGGCAAGGGATATTATAATTACGCGAAAAAATGTCATGGACTAAAACTAACTATAACGATCTTGGTTTCATACATCTATCTTGATTTCGTAAATTCTATCTATCTCTCTTTCTCTCTTACATTTTCTGACGTTTCCGTTACGCAGACACTCTGAGCTATCCATTCATGCACGCTCTTTCTCTCGATATCTCTCTCGCTTCTGCCTTTCTTTCGGTATCATTTGCATTCTCACTCGTGAGTACAAACACTCATGTTCGTATAAAAATAATAATAAGATTTCATAATAATATATAATAATATAATATATATAATTATAATAATATATATGTGTCTTACGCGTAATTGAATAGAATCCATAAAATTAATAATATCCATCTATATGCTATTTGCAATAAATGTAACAAAAAATAGTACTCAATAATAATAAGGCATTTTACAAGCGTATTTTGATCCTTGCTTTGATATCGGAATGTATCGACGTACATAATATGATTAACATCAAACGAGCAAAATGTCATGATCGTGATTGTCCTATTCTAATCTAACAGCTCTAATATAATTGGCAACAGATACGTGTATATATGTCTTATTTCTGTATATGTACGTTTATGCGAATGAATGGGTATTCATATTGTCTCATTACGCACGTAGACATATACGCGCCATCAAATGCGCGACATAAATTGGCAAGCAGCTCCGCTTTCACCGGTGGCACATTAAAGTTATTTCAAATTTAACCTTACGAACTACATAACCACGGATTATTGGTACCGGTTTCGGTGATGTCATGAACCTCATGACAATTCGAGTAAAACGTAATCATCTTCGTCATAATTGGCACGAGTTCTTATCTCGCACAGATTACGAATCAATATCTCGAATGAGAAAATTTAAGATACACTCGTGAAAATAATACGGAACTTTGTTGCGATATCTCCGCTTATAGGGCACATAGAGAAAAAATAAAAACACTTTCATTATATATTCAGAGCGGTCGCAATCGATTAAGCACACTTAAATCGGTTCTGTTCTTATTGAGATCCAACCTCGATCTGACGCAACTTGCCGATTCGCGTAAAGGAGGCACGACAGTGTCGCTGCACACTTAGCTTTAACACTACCATTGTATGTGTGTGTGTGTGTTTCCAAATAAAAATAATATAACAATCTCAATAAACAAACTGTCTGCAATATGCTGATTGACAACAAATAAAAAATCGCTAGCCAATTAACATCAATCATGTCCGCATTAAGTTCATACTCTATAAACACATAATATTCTTGAATGTTATATAAATATTATTTACCCTTTTTAATATTTGTACAACATTCTAAAAATATTGTGTCTTATAGGGTATATCGGCAGTACTTGCTGATATGATTTGACAGTAGATAGGCAGAAATCAATGAGAAACCAAATTATGTTTTATTTTTGTTGCTAATCTGCGTCAAACTGTGCAGCAAGTACGTTAAAGTGTGCTTGATTTTTGCTATTAATTTATCATCATATTTTATTAATACAAATTTTAATATTTTCTACCGACAATATATATATTATATATATATATATAGAGTAGAGCGGAGCCATTCCGTCAGTTTCAACTTTAAAGTAATACGAAAATTTACGATAGCAAATAATATCTCTTTACAGTGCTTATAATTACATTATACAATCGTAATTACTCCTTGAAAGCACAAATTTAAATAATTAACACGTATAGTTCAGAAATATAAACATTATCGCGAGAAATAGCCTCGATCTACCTTATATGTGCCAGATTCTATTAAATCTGTAGCTTTTTTGTTGATAAAATTCGAAACAAAAACTATAGAAAGACAGTTTATCATTCTATGCCTCGGAGATAAAAGAATATAAACACATATGATACTTTTTATTTTTTTCTTAAACAACACACTAACTACTTTAGTTCCGAGATATTGAATCGTCATCTTATCCTCCAACGTCTGGACTCAGTTCTTATATGCTTACGTACATGTAAAGAGATTACATTACAGATACAGATATAGCGTGATTATATTACTCTTATTAGTCTTAAGATTTAGAAAAAGTCGTGGCTTCTCGATGCCATCTCGAGCGTGACGTGGCAGAGTATGCGGCACAGGGAGGCAATCCGGATTTCTTTTTAAACTTTTTTTTTTTCACGGTAAGATTTCCGTTTCAAGCCGATGTTTCTTCGCGTGCGATGATTGGTTTGTGACAGCGATATTACGAAATTACACGACGTCTTCATGCACGCGCGTAAATACGTCAGTGCTCGTAAATGTGAAGCCAGAAGTCTCGTTAGCGACAACAGATCATAAGAAGAAAATGTTGATTAGCTTTTTATGATGTTTTATATCATTGAGAGGTGAAATGAGAGATCAATTTTTTTTGTTTTTATGTTTCGCGAACGTTTTATAACGTCTTGTGCAGAGAGATTCGATATTATTTAAAACGATGCAAAAGAGAGCAATATCCTATTGACAGTACATTTCATTGTTTGCTTATCGATATGTGATATATATTAAATTTAACATAATTTTCTAATGTTGTAATGACAGCATTTATTTCAAATTGTCCATTTCCGATTATCGATGTAACCGAAATCGAAATGTAAAGGCAAAAAAAGAAGCAATCGCTTCTGACATTGACTAACACAAACATCATTCGTTTAATTCAAAATCATTCGTTTAATGAGAAATAACGGCACGTGCGTTACGATCTATACGAATTCGTCGGGTTTTTCAAAAATAATAATTCACGTTAAGACCAACGCAATGCGATGCATTTCTTAAACGTGTGGGCAAATTAAGAATCTAAACGTCAACGAGCGAATTAAAATACAAATTAACAGAGACAAATGGTCGTCTCAATATGCATCTACAATATACGTATGTTTATCATATACCGGGATCCTTAAATCAATTTTGATTGATTTACATGGCGTTCGCGTTTTCAACGTGACGCTTCTAAACTAGCAATCGTCAATATAAAATGTTCATGGGACGCAAAACAAAGTAATAACTGACGCTTTTCGTACCCGCGACGTACGACATTCTTGCACATTCGACTTGCTCCAGTCGAGTCGAAGCCCATACATCTGTGAGCGATAAAGATTTATTTAACCTTTTCACATCTGATTTTCTTCAAGAAAAAAGTCTAGTTTAGTCATTTTTTTAGTTCAGCCATTTTTGTTGAAGTTGCTAAACACAATAAAGGTATAATAACAGTCTAAAATGGCGGATTTAATAACAAACGTAAACGTAAAAGATAAAATATATTCAAATTTAATAAAAATTTATACTTGTATTATCGTTTTCGTGGAAACCGCGAAATGTGGAAATGATTCAGTTTATAAAATAATATAAAAAACAACAAAATATATATTGATAAGAATAAGGTTCAAAAGTTTTCGGTCTACTCTATATCGTTATAACCAATAGCATTATATATCTATCTCTATCATTGAAATACAAGAAACTTTAATTTAAAATATTCCAACGTTACGATCCCGGTAAAAAATTGTTCATACATGAATATGTATAAATATGTATAAACATACATAAATATTTATAAACATGTATAATAATATGTCCATATATGTTCATACATTCTTCTTTCTTTTGTAAAATTACTGTTTAGTGTAATAGAAATAATAGTAATGTGAAAAATTAAAAATAATTAAAGAAATAATTTTCGCAGTGTTCGTTTTAGAAAAAAACAAGTTTGAAGAAATATAAAAAAATTGCATTATATACACAATTATGCATAATTTTGTATATAATTATACATAAGGAATTTTTTTACATTTTTTTAAACTTGATTTTTTTCTAAAACAAATAATCCTTACGAAATGTAACGCTGCATAAGTAGTCATCGAAAACTTTCAGGTCTGTGTGTATCACACAAATAACTTTCCATATTTTTATATTCTAAGTTCAATCGCGAGATTCTCACTCTTCGGTTTTATAAAAAATTGATTAGAGAATCGAAAATTATAAATGAAAGAATATAAAGAACGTTTCACGCAACGCTCGTAAGCATTGTTTGTCCTTGTTTAACATTTGATAAACAACAAGGATTAAATGATTCAGCGAGCGTTGTTAAATGGAACGCAGTCAAAGTTCGACTTGATTCGAGAATCAATTTCCGGAATTCTTATTTCATTTATATTTACATTATAAAATATAATAAGAAGTATATAATAAAATATTCATTATAATATTTTAAATTAAAATTTAAGCAATCTTCTTTAATATGAGCTTCATGTTAATGACTTGAGTTTGATGTTAATGACTGAATACTAGAGATATGATTTTTTTAACATTTTAAAACATATATCTCCTATTGGATGTGAAAGGGTTGAAGTGTAATAAAAATATTTATTAGCGCATACTTATTAATTTTTTGGTAAACGTTTCGCTAATAATTATTGTATCGATAATTGTTCAAAACATGTGTCTGTTCAAATATAGGCTTCGACTGTGATATTATACTACAGAGTTGAGATTTAATTGCATATTTTCGGCTTATTTCGTTGTCGACGTCTTCACATTAAGTATCCATTAACTCATTGTTTAAATACGAACGGCAAGAAGAAAATAGTGAGGACCATGGCACATAAAAACTTAAACAGTAAAACGTAAACAATAACAAATTCAATGTTAATTTCCTTACTGCTTACATTTTACTGTTTAAATTTTTTATAGCACTTTATACAACATCGACAATGAAATCTGCCCGAAATGTGCAATTAAATCTCTGTTACACTACGATTAAAATAACGTGACATCGATTCTTCTTTGAACACGTTGAAAATTCGATTTTTCAGGAATGTATTCTCTCTTGATTCTTCTTGATTATTCTTGCTGGAAAATAATTACCACGTTGCTACTTGGATCTTTCTCGATGGCCATTTTTGATAGGCACATCATCGAGTAAACTGTACAAGAATCTTCAACGTGGTGCGAAAAAAATTCGCTATTTATTTAGCAATTGTTATTATTCAACGCAAGATGTTGCTGATCCTTCATTCATCCAAGTAATCAGTTCTCGTCAAGCTTGCGTAGCGTATTTACATAAACGTTTCTTGTTCGTTCACGTGTTACTGTTGTCGTGAACATGCACGTGTGCATGTGTGGAATTGGCGAGGGGTGAATGTGGTAGATGTGGAGGCGATGAAGGTAGTTCGATGAGAGTGACGTCATATCCGGCGGGAGAATCACTCGGATCGCCAGGATCACCCGGCGAACCCGGATTATTCGGGTTGCGTTCGCTGCCCGGGTCCGGATTGATCCGTGAGTGGCTCACCTCCAGCAGAAACAGGTCCTCATCGACGTAATATCGGATCATGTCGTCGTCAATTTTCGCTGTAATTCTGCAACAGGATACGATGAAATTCTCGGTTAAATCTTCTCGGCGCAACTCGCGAATGAAAGCGGCGAATCTAGTTTCAGAGAATGTGGCATGCAACGCGGTAACTTCGGCCACTACAATATTGTGACACTTGATGAATGAACTTGTATTTCATATAATTTCATTGCTTATGGTTAACAAAAGCTCTTAATGTCAATAAGTGTTAAAATTTTATGGTTTAAAACATTTTTGGCAACAATAAGTTTTATAAGAGAAGTTCTCGTACTGCGATGAATATTACTTCTTCTATGGCTACGTTCAGCAGAGAAAACTAATCATTTGGCGCTTAGTAATTCTTTAATATCATTGTTTTCTACACTTAGATCCAACGAAGACCTAAAGAACTAGTTACATTAAAGAATCACCAACTGATTAGTTTAATTATTTTTTTCGTTTAATATAATTTTACGATATTAAAATGAAATTATTGCAATATAATTCACGATTTATGGCATCGTTATGGAATCATCACAGTATCATAACGGCAAAATATCTATGCTGTCTTGCGATGGATCTTCTTCGAGATCTCGTGATGAAAAAAGTGGAGTTCGCACCGCATTATGCGTAGCTTGAGAGAAAGAAAGAGAGAGCGTAAGATAGGATTTGCTTGAATGACGTGAGATGTACATGTCGAGTAACGAAGAATATCTGTTCGAGGGAACAAGTTCCTGCAGGAATACGCAGTGCGTAACCAACGTATGTTGGAAAAAGTACCGGCAGAATAAAATAATCAGTTGAACGAGACGCATGACGACATTAAGCGAGGCAGGCAAGGCGTGCATGAGTGCGCTTGTGACGGAAGGCAGAAGACGAGAAGCGTGAAGGATTAGTGGATTAATCAGGCGTGATTGTGCGTAGCGGTAGCGAGATGTAGTCAGCGTGCAACTACATTCGCGTTAAGGTGATCGACAAAGAAAGGACATTTTTAACGAGAGAGTACACGAGAATGGCGTATACATTTAAATACATATGTCGCAGAGAAACGTGTATCCGACATTTGAAAGAGGCACGATCATAGGCGAGAGGGAGAGCGAAAGAGAGCGAGAGAGAGAAAGAGAGAAAGAGAGAGAGTGAGATAGAGAAATTAGAGAAAGAAAAAGACTACCAAACCAGGCGGAGAGAGTCAGGCAATGTCACCGTTATGGCATGCATCGCGTAGGCGTGCATGCAAGTAAAGATGACACTCTACTAAACTTACCCCTTTGTGTTTTTGCGATAGAGGTTATTAATACTCGAGGATGCAATTTTGTACTTTGACTCAATCTGCAAAATAGAAAAAAGTAGAACATTAGAATTTCGATAGTGGCTTGCGGATCGTCGTTTCGTTTCGCGCACGCACTCGAGAAAGTGGTCGCGAGACGCGCGTAGGTAGACGCAATATTACCGCGAGAATGACAGCAAGAAAGAAAGACAGAAGGATAGAGTGAGATAAAAGTAGACAAGACAGATCGAAACGGGAAGACATAATGATGAAGAGATATATATCGCGCGTCACAAGAACGCGGAGGCAGTTCAGGATCGGTTCAAAGCGCGGTCCGAGATAGGAGATCTCACGCGTGGACCAATTAGATCATTCTTTCGCGGGGCGTATAGAAACGCGACGAGAGAAGAGAAATCGTTTGAAATCAGAGAGAAAGAAAGGATGTTTTTTTCTTCCACTTTTTTCTTCCGTTATTTTTGATCGGTATAACGCGTCTTTTACGTCCATATCTGGTAGATTGTTAAAAGCCGCCGACAGTCTCGCACATCCACAGGAGGAGGGATAAATATGATCGTATGTCTTGCATTATCGATAATGTATTAATGAGGATCTTGGATCACAGTGGACAATGATGCATGCGCATTAATATTAATTAGCGAGTGGACCAGTGCGAACGTATTAATAATGGCGCAGTATGCTTTCACATGCATGAGTAATACATACTCTCTCGTGGGGCTTGTATATGTGCATGTAAAATATATGTGCATATACAGTGGCGTGCAAAAGTTCCCGACCAGTAACATTTAAGTTTTATATACTCTAATTTATTTAAAAAAAAAACCCGAGAAAATTTTAATCATTATATCAGATGTTGATACAAGATTTCATTATCTACGTCTTGTACTGATACATAATGGTTAAAATTTTATCAGGCTTTTTTTATAAATTAGAATATAAAATGTCACTGGCAACTTTTGCACGCCACTGTATATATGTATGCTGTATATATGTGTACAATTTCCGTGCTCATCAAATCGCGAATTGGATTAGCGAAACTAAACTGGATTGAAATCGAAACAGACATTAGTTATTTTCCGGCCGTATGACTTTATTAAGCCTGGAAGTGTTTATCGGGGAAGCGTATCTCGATCGATGGTAGCGATAGCACATTGCATTAATATTGTCTCGCTTCTCGTTCTGTTTCCAGAGCAGGCCTCGTCGATGAACGACAGTGTAATCACGAATGAACACCCACGGTCGCATATATTCAACGGTGCGCAATGTGTTTTGCATAAAACACATCACTGCTACCGTATGCTTATCGGTCGCGGTATGGAAATGGTGAGAATTTCCATTTCCCATTTCCATTTTTACGAGCGGGCTTGTTATTTTGCTTACTTTATTACCGAATGACAATCAAAACATTCAGTTAATACAAAATTTGCGAAAGCATATTTCCCTTCGATTATGCGTATTCACTTTATATATTGCTGACATTTATCCCCTGCTCTATATCTAAGATTGACGTTATGCTTGTACGATTCATAGTAAAGACCAATAATTTTCTCTATACTGCGGACGTTAATAGTTCACGACACAGAACGGGTGCCTTAATGTATCAGCTTTATAACTTCCGCTATATTTCTTTCGAAAGTATCTCTGAGAACGATGCAGATCGTGCGAATCGTCAGGTCTACACACCCAGAGAAAAGATTGCTTCGATTTGAAAAAATTTCGATTAAATGAAAAAAATTCTTTGATTTGTGAAAAAATTTCTTTCATTTAAACATTATTTTTTTAAATCAAATAAATTTTATTTGATTTAAAAAATAATCAAAGAAATTTTTTCACAAATCAAAGAAATTTTTTCATTTAACCGAAATTTCTTTAAATCGAAGCAACCTTTTCTCTGGGGGTGCAAAGGTTCTCTGAGATCCCTCTCTACGCGAATGTTTGCGTGGGAATGTTTGTTGATGAGATGTCGATGTGTGTAGGCGATATAAAAGAAAAGAGCTTTAGGATATTTCTTACAGCGTTGAGTAGCCCCTGGACTGTCGGTGGTGTGACGTGCAGTGGTGTGTAAACATCTTCCGATTCCTGACGCACGTAGAGCATGACGCGTTCCTCGGCGTCCGCTGGACGTAGATGCGGCGGCTGTTGTTGTAGGTGCAGCCGATTACCGACACTGGACACCACCGTGCCCGTCAGGCCGGTCTGCACCCCCTGCAGCATCGAGCCCTGCAGCTCCTGCACCTGCATCAGCAACGAGTCCTTCTTGTCGTGCAGGTTACTGAGATTGTCGGGCGGAAAATGGTTGTGGAACTTGAGGGCCGGCAGACTCGGCCGGGCGCATGGCGGTGGATAGGGGCTGCTACCCCCCGCCTTCAATCCTCCACCTTCACCATTACTGAGTGACGAGGTGTCGGTGTCACCCCCTCCCCCGCCGCCGCCACCACCGTAGAAGCCCGACAACTCCATCGTCGAGAACTGTCGTGGAAGAGAGAAGAATAAGGTTTATTTTTTACTCTGCGTCTTTTTCTTTTCTTCACGAGACGACCCGTTTAAATTTCATATTAGAAAACGAGGAGTAAGCTTTGAAGCGACGTTAATTTCTTTTCTTAATGTATAATATTAAAGAGGAGATTGACGACTTGCGAACAAATTGAAAATCAATGGCGGCAAAAGATAAATATGATAACTCATCTGTTTTGATAATAAAAATAATAATGCTACGCAATGCTGTTAGTCATAATGTAGTAACTACAACTCTCTGTAGTTACGACAACTCTCATATTCATTGTAATAAAACTAAAAACATAAAAATATATATTGAAAGGCTTCTATTCTGGTTCGTTAAACTGAATTGACATTCGAAAGGCTGTCTCGAGAAAGTCCACGTCACTACTTTGCGATGCAAGAGTTGCGGTTAGTGCAGGGTTTCGGCGGGGGTGAGAGCAGAGGATTGTGGATTTTTCTAAGTTCATTTTTGCGCCAATTAATTAATTTAGATATATGCTATAATGACATAGCACACTCGTATTTGAGATGTTGTACTACGATAACGTAGCATATTCATATTTGATAAAAAACAAATTAATAACGTAGACATCTTATATTATTAATAAGTTTTATGCATATTAATGTAGCGTATTAAAAAAGTTTATTCTTATTTATAATTTATTATATTTTTGTAAAGAGAAACAATCTCTTTTATAGAATTATTAACTCTCCATCGACAATTTTGGATTTTAAAGATGTATTCAATTTTTTAATTGTAATTCTAGTAGACAAATTTAAATTTGTAAAATATAAGTAAAATTCGATTTTTTAAAAGTGTATTCGATTTTTTAGTTGTGATTCTAGTAGACAAATTTAAATTTGTAAAATATGAGTAAAATACAATTCGATTTCTATTATAAAAATTTGTTGTTAAAGCTTTCATAAATACATAAGATATATTTGTCAATTTGTCATTTTTGTACAACCCGACACGATATAAAAATCTGTACTGAAGTTCGAAGACCCAGGTTGCAAATGCGAAGAGTGAAAATTTCACATTGCCGATTGGAGGATTAATATTGCAATTAAACATGTTCGCAATCAATGTTACTGTGAGAACACAGCAAGTTCTTATTGATGATATACTATTACATGTGTGAGTAACATATAAGAAAACGATGTGATTACCTTATCGATGGCGTGTTCGGCCGGTGGGGAGAACAGCACAGGCGGTTTGTGTAGATCGACCATGGAGTAAAACTCGCTGCGCTCCGTAACGGGGTGATAAAGCTCGTCGAGCTTTTTTCTGCCAGTCGCTGTCATCTTCCTCTTAGCCGCGCGTCTCTCTTCGTCCCGGGTCTTTCTCTCAGCTCCCTACGATAAGCAACATCATCTCTCAACTTAATTTCAGCGATCACATTGCGACCGAGTCGTACAAGAATGGGAGATAAACGTATGGAAATGCAGAAGAGCAGTTACCTTATCGCAGAAGACCTTAATTTGACAGTAACCGCGATGGGAAGGCGGCGTATACGTGTGCGTGTGGGGCGGTGGTTCCTCGTACGTATCGACCTGGATATGCAGCGGTAAACCCTTCACGCCTTTCTGACTCGAGAAATCGGTACTGAGACATTGCACCGCCACGTTTATCTGTGGATCAGAAATCGGACAGGTAGCAGCGGCGGCGCGGCGGCGGCGACACGGGAATTGCTTTATTAACGTTTCCGCTAAATGGCCGTGCAATCGAATGCGCGACACGATATTTGCGCGTAGCGATATATATATATATATATATATATATATATGTATATATATACGGGAAAGAGGGGCAGAGAGGCATATACATGTCGTTAAGAACGTAACGTGAATCGACATTTCCGGCGTTCCTTACCTTTGCCAACGATTCGAGTGGGTTCCAGTAAACGGCAATCGCATTGTGCGCGACTTCCTCTATGCAGCCCACCAAGCCAGTGCTATTCTTTGTGTCTGTAACAACGGACGTGACTCTGAAACTCGCGGATCATGCAGGGGAATATGAAATAGCTAGTGCTATTCTTGGGACTTTTAGATAGAATATTAAAATAACGGGGCATACGTCCGCGATAAAATCTTACCGGTTGTCCGTTATAGATTATGTAGCTTGCGCAAAATACAAGAGATTTATAATTAGAGATTTAATCGATCAAGAATTTATTAAAAAAATACATGCGTATCATAATTTATAAAAAAAGCTATCACTGTTTTTCAAAATTTTATATCACTTCTACTTATTTATTTATTTACAGATATTTATATTATTTTATTTAAAGTATTTTCCAAGTTTTTCAAGTACCAGCGTCAAGAATCCGTTGTTTGACAGAGTGTTGCCTCCCGTGCCAAAACTGCCAGGATTTGATTTCGTCTTCTGGACTCTTCTCCTCTCGGAACATCAACATTACCACGCTCTATGCAGCACATATAGATAATTATTAATCACCTGACAAATCGAGTATAAATCGTAAGTTATCGGTTATCGGCACATTATTCCTAGCGACAAGGTAAGACAAGGAAAACACACCGTGAGAAAAATTTTACACGCGCGCATGTAAAATATTTTTCACGATGTATTTCAAGATCCCTATATTTCATAATTATCGAGATTTCTCGTGTTTTATAATCAATCTGATATGTGTGAAGTATAAATAAATATCTTGTGTGTGTCTACAAAGTTAGCTTTCGGGTTTCACCCGGATCGACGCGATATACGCGGGGACGTACATCGACCGCGACAGACGCACGCTCGAGCGGGCACACGCGGGCGTGAGCGTTTTCGCCGCGAGCGGCGCGGCGGCGCGGCGGCGCGGCGAGACAGAGCTGGAGGAAGGATTTTTCGTGATTCGGGTGAATGGGCGAAGAACTGCGCTCTCCGACGTACCGGAGGAAATATGGGCGCGCACGATCGGAAAGGAAAGAGAGGCCTGTGAATAAGAGGTTCGCGTTACGCGGTTACACTTACTTAACCGATCTCCCTTGAGGCTCGCGCCGCGAGAGACGCGGATATACCGTTCGAATCGCCACACGCCTCGCTCTCGACGTTCGATTAGCAATTAACGAGGAAGCTCGTAACTCGTCGCCGGCGCATACGACGGAAAAAGAATCCGCCACCTTTATCAGAATGGAAATTACTAACGGTGCGTGCGCACCGTGGCTGCCAATTAGAGTCGCGAGAACAAACGATCCCGTCTGACTTCTTCTTTCGACACGCCGCGCCGCGCCGCGCGCACGCCGATCGTCTCCGCGAATTTTACCGCTCCAGTCACGCGAACGGAACGATACCGTGCAAATGCTTATTGTTACAGTTTGACATTGATAAGTGTACCGTAGCTACGCTGTTAAATATAAAAGGAGCAATGATAACCCAATCCCTTGAGTTAAAAAGGTTTAATATTATTAACCTTCATGTGTGTCGAAATGTAAATCAATTTATTTCTGTGGATAGTTTCAAAATGAACAACATTCATTTATGAACTTAGTAAATAAATTAAATCAAATTTAATACATTTTCTCGAGTTAGGCTATTATTTTAACTACTTAAGTAAATTGTTTAACTCCACTATTTTAATTAAATTAACGACATGTTAAATAGTTACGACACTGAAAAAATGTGCTAAATTTTAATAAACCATTTGTTTAAGTAATACCGACTAAATATTTATCGAATATAAAGATACATTTATTTGGTACAAGAATTTATTATCTATTAATTTAATTTAACAATCACTTTTTTATTAAGTAAATTAAATTTATTTAATATGTAAGTAAATATTTAATCGATAATGTTCAAATATAATATACGTATATTTATTAAAACCTAGTACATTTTTATCTCAGTGTAAGAATGATTAAAAATAATTCAAATTGTGTATAATTTGTGAATTTAACAGTGTATTCATCTCTATCTTCGAAACTATGGATCTACTTACCTATATCATCATACAAATGTGGTTATTCAAACAGTGCGATTATTCTTTTTGCTCTTACCTTGACTGTCTGTCCTGCCTTGAGGAGTGGCTTATCCGGATCGGACACATATTCTAACGTGATTCCGTAGAATTGGCCCTTATTGATATACGTTATTCTATCGTCCTCGCGGCGCTGGGACGTACTGATCGGTGACTCCAAGTGGTACTTGAATCCGTAATTCGAGAAACTAAAGAACAGACAAATAAGATTCCCCAAATGAAGCGTGAATACACACAGCTCCGACGTATGTGAGCGCGTAAAAAAAAGAAGCACACATTTAAGAAGCAATCTCCATAGTGTGTGTGTCATTATGCAGCTGGCCGTTTCACACACTCGGTCAAGATTGAATCGCGTTTACTTAATAGACGATTACGAGCTTGCAAACGAATGCTCAATTAGCTGATTAATGCGCGATGCAATATGAGTGATTATCGTGTCATTATCGGCTAATTCTCCGCCAACGTATTCCTACTTCGCCATCAAGACAAACATACCTAAAGCCGTTTCGCGTGGAAAACAACCGATGTGTGTGCGAGGCAAACAAGACCGCGCAAAATTCTTTGCTAATTAGAACGTTCGTCATCGCGCGCGCAAAAAAAAAAAGCGATCGCAATCGTGTATGAATATTCTAATCGTTAATAGCGGTAGAACGATAATGAAGGGCCTCGGGAGCCTGGGAAGCTGGCAACGCAGAGTTCGCGCGAATTGGAAAAAGAACGACATCGACAGACACGCATCAACCTTGCCGGAGACGGGGGGAGAGGGGGGGGGGAGGGAAGAGGGAGAAAATCGCGACTTCTAATCGAGCTTATCTCCGCGCCGGCCGCGACTAAAGCACGCAGGTAGGCGGGCGACCGATAACTTATGAAAAATGAACGCCCATAACCCGAGAGATTGAGGGTAGAGACCGCGATATAAAACGCGAGACGACAAAACGACGCGCACGATTGAAGGAAGATGGACGATAGATGGAAAAACGAGAGCAAAAACGATCCGACCGCCGCGATCGAGGAAAATCTGTAATCGTTAAGCTGCCACTTCTCGTCTCGAACTCGATTTATCGATACCGGTCTCCATCGGTTTTATCATTCGCTGCCTCGGCGAATTTTCTGAATATATTATTATCGTACATCCTCCTCCTGAGAGAGTGCCTTATTGTCTTTGAAGCGCACACATTCGTATTCGTGACGCGGTCCTTCCGTTTCTCTTTTTTTTTCCTTTTGCCTTTCCGTTCTTCTCTCTCTCTTTTTTCATTGTGGAACCAGGGGGCAGTGTGCGTAGCGAGCGAGGCGATAACTGACCGTGGCGGGTGAACGCCCTCCTCTGCGCTTTTGCTGCTCGCTACCGTTGCACAGCCTCCTACCCGATGTGTATACCTTGTTACGACTCCCTGTGTGGGTTACGCATGACTACAGAGTCTCTCTCTCTCTCTCTCTCTCTCTCATCTGTCTGACTTTCTCGCTTCTGTCTCGCGAAAAAGAACCCGGTCGAAAAGAGAGAGGCTACCCCTCTTGACATTTCGATTTCACGCTGCGAATGGTCGGCGAACTCTGCGATTTTTCAGACCCGGACCGGGCGCGACCCCGAGGCGCTTGTCCGACTCTTTCAGAGTCGACTTCGGAGCTGGCTGCGACTTAATAACTTTAACATCATTGTTCATCTCGCGTCGGTGAGCATATTCAGAGAGATGGAGCAAGAAATATTCAGCAGCGCTGATCGTACGCGGTCGGCTCTAACAATGGAAGGCAACAAATTACAAAAGACGGATGGAGCAAAACGGGAAATAGAAAGATCGCTAGGAAGGATGGATATGGGAGAAGAAGATCAAATGAGTTGGCAAGCGGATGTGAATCGCGAAGGAAATGAAGGGTGTGCAAGGAGTAAGAGGCATAGGAAGTTCTTCTAGCAGGTGGTTAGTGAAGATATTAGTTTTCTGTGAAACAGAAATGACATTTATGACTCCGTTTTTAGAGAGGCGCCATTAGTTCTCAATCATAAAGGAAATAAAATCCTTTTGCTAAATTAAGCCTTAGCGTATGAGCGAAAATATTATACAACTATGCAAGTATTTCAAACTCCATCTTTGTCATTAGTTGAACCGATTATGCGTATAATACATGAGAAGTTATATTAATTAAATTATTAATTTAAACGCCATATGATAATATTTCATTTGTATATATTAATATTTTCTTGGAAACATTTGTGCTAAGAATGAAATGTTCGTTCATCTGCAATCACGAGGTACTTTCTTTGTTGCGTGCACGGAAAAAACGGTTTTGCTGAAATGTTTAAAAGTTTAGCTAGATATAGATCTGAAAATTATGTAAGACGCTTAACTGGTTACTAAAATATTTTTATAGCACTGCCCATCACTGAGTTGTAATTATTTTGATGGTCAAATAGAATTATTTGCAGAGTATCTATATCTACCTAAACTTTTAGATACGAGTACTTTAATAAAATCTTTCCAGGTGGATTCGCAATTGCTTGTCCTGAGCGGTGCAAGTTATTAACTTTTATCGTTGCTCTTCCGTACCTTTCATGTAATAAGATAAATTGATAGATAAATATCTATATATCAATCTTAATATCCGTCTACTTATTTATCTATCCATTCGATCGAGCAAATTGAGCATTCGCCTTTGCACATCATTATTATAACGCATATTTATTATAATTTCCTATACTACCGTGCAATCCCTAATCGGACAAATCATGTCAAGAAATAATTCTATTAAGTTTTCTTTGCTCTTAATCTAATAAGCACAGCTAGTTTTAATCAAAAAGAAGCTATTAAAATAAGATAACTTTTTAAGCTTCTCATATAATCCAAAGAGATCAATGCTTGTGCTAAATATTAAATCGTATTAAATATTTTTAAATAGATTGTTAGAAAAGAGCACTGCAAGAATTACATACATATTTTGCGATCATTGATTTTTTTTCATAAATTGTAGCTTTCCGAGCCTACGTACATTTTCGGTATCTGGATCTTATCGGCGTCGTTCTGTCTGCCGAAATCGTGCCAAGGCCGCGATCTCTGCGGATTTGGATTTGGATTCGGATTTGTCGCACCAGTGGACACTAAGCTGCTGCGTTGCACCTGTGCTTGTGCGTGGCTCTGCTGCAGCTGTAATTGCAGGGGTTGGTGTATGACCGCTCCACTTTCGAGAACTACCGCTGTTCCGGCTGTTGTTCCGCCAGGACATAATTCTGTGTAGTCGAATGAGGACTAGAAAAAAAATATAATTTATTAAAAATTAATAAAAAAATAAGAACCATATTGGACAAACGTTAAAACATAGGAGTCCATTTAATCAATTTAAATTAATAACTTCCATTTAAGCATTCTAAATTTTTTAATTCTTTTTTAATCTTGTTTAATTCGAAAATCTGCCGCAAATTATATATATATATATATGTATGTATAAAAATATTGAAAAATATAATTACATTGAAGTCATGATTCAAGTAATAAATGATAACAAATGCTTTATCGTCTTTCGTGACAAAAACTAATAACTTATTTTTAATTCCTTGTAAAAGAAAAAAAAACAGATGGAATGTAATGATATAGTATAGTAACATTAATATATGTAGAAGAGATACAGCGTGTAAAAATAATGGTAGTTGCAATTTTTTTCGATCATATTCTGGTAGACATAGATAAAACGCGTTCGCATGCACGAGCATACTAAATCTCATTCAATTTAAATGCTCCCTGATTACGGTGTAATTAGTATTTAAAAATCTAATAAGAACGTAATTATTTATCGACGCCATTCGTTTCGTATATCAGCATTATCGCGATTCAATATCTACACACGTTCGCGTCTTATTTTGCATATCAATGCATTTCATTAGATTTTTCCGTATCTCTCACAAGTATCCCTCGATAAATTTCAAACTGCGTCGATTAAAGGGATCACTGGACCGATAAATGATTAACCGTTCACAAACACGCGATTTCACGTGACTGTCCCGATGCGTCCGTTTTGAGTCTCTCTTTTTCTCGTTGGTTACACATAACGCCATAAACAAATTTCGAGATATAAACGCAAATGGATTGCAGCGAAAAAACAGTGGTGTTTTCCATTTATCATTAATATGCGCTTTTTCATGCATTTTCGATCGTGCACTCCATTGCGCACTGCTCGTATATCCCTGCCTGAAGGCAGCGCGAACGAAGAAAGAATAGAGAAGCTTTGTGGTCTCGTAAAATCAACCGCACAATCCGCACACCCGCTTCCAACCGTAGCTGTTAATAAGCGGCTTGCCAAACGACCTATTCCCTCATACGTCTTCATGCGATTGCGCGTCGCCTGCAGTTATTTTTCAATGCAACGCGGTTACCGCAGCTCGTTACCTCAACTCTCTGTCATCCCAAAAAAAAAAATCACGGCAGCTTCTTTCTTGCTAAATTCTCTAACCACTAAATCTACCGCACATCGACACAAAGCTATTCGTCGTTTTAGAATTTTTCAAATGCTTCATGCATTAAATGCATGAGATGCAATAAGCATGAAAGTCGCATATTTTCTTCCAGCATAGTTTTGAGACGCGACGTTTCGTTAACAAAAATTTTATTGCATGTCATATATTTTTCAAATTGAAAATTTCAATTAACATTCAACGTTTTTCGTGATTAACACTTAAAATACAACATGTTGAAATCCTTAGATTTTTTTTTATTATGCGACAAAAATTTGAATTTCTCACGGAAAGAACAATTTTGCTGATAGATCTAAAATTTTTCTGGAAACATCAGAAAATAATTTTATTAGACTACTAAAACAATTTTGTTAGAAACTCAAATTGATTGCTAGAATATCAAAACTTTTTGAAGTATTACTCTTCATTTTTCAACATAATTATTTTAATAGTCCAACAAAATTATTTTCTGTACATTTTTAGTTCTTTCAGTTCAAAAATCATTTTTCTTGTATTAAATTAATTAATTTATTATAATATACATGCACATAAGAATTTAATAGATCGCCATTTTTACAATTTTATCATATTGTGTGATTAAACAAATTTCATGCACGACATGCGCAATTTATCGATAATTTATCTACTTATAGGCCGGTATTCAATCGACTTAGTCGATTCTTATTTCAAGATCGTCTTAAGTAATATCTTAAGACGCTAATACGGCCGTCTGATTGGTCGTCGTGACATCTCAAGACAGAACTTAAGAGGGTCTTGAATATAAGAATACCGGCTATAATGTTTCATCGTCGATATGTGTACACAACTATTTTAATTGAGACGTTAACGGCAATAATTGAATCAACGTTTGATAAGCAAAGTCTAAATCACAGTGTACGACTGATGCAAATGCGAAAACTGTTCCGGATGAGAAAGCGCGCATAAATATTTAATATCTAAACAGGCTTAATCTTATAAGTCAAGTACCAACCAGCTAAAAATCCGTGGGTCCGGTTAAAATATAATACATGCAATTTGCATGATATTAAAACCATACTAAAACAAGATGTCACTTTGTATACCGGAAATTTACGATAATTAAACGAGATCCTTTTTTGCTGACGAGACATCGAATTCATCAGATAGACGTATCATTCGTGCCGTGTGATCATAATTGGCCGTGTTACGTTATCTCGATGCGATTCAGAGCGGCACCGTTTTCTCAAATATTAAGAAAATTGTCGATCGAAGGCGTATTAGTCGCGAGATAAAACGAGCGTGCGCGGACGGTAAAATTTAATGCTTTACCCACTTTGAATATCAACGTTTTAATTGCGTGCATAACACAAGCATGCCGATCAGGCGAGCGGATCGGTTTTCAGTAGCACTTACATCCGATACCTAATCCGCCCGACCCGGGCCTTCGGGTTTTATTTCAACGTCTGCCATGCGCACACAAGCGGAGCAGAACGAACGCGTGCTTTCTAATTCGTAATGTCGACTGCAATGCTAATGACTTACTCTCGCGTGTAACGCGCGCGACACGATTAATGCTTCCGGAAGTGGACGAGATATGCAACAGTACATGAGAATGACGAATTGCCTGTGTCAAGAACTGCCGATATAAACGAAATGATACAAGCGACTATATTACCGTTTAATTGAACGAGATTCGTATAGAAAGAGTTAAATACGCCTGACATAGAACTGATAAGTTCAGAGAGATTTCCAAAGCCTCTTTTTTTCGTGAAAACGCGATACGATTACAGTTTATTGAAATTAATGTTACTTCCTTGAGAAAAATTTATGTGTGTGTGCCGTCTGATTATATAATAAAGTTTTAGTATTAAGTATACATCTTACCGTAATGGACTTTGCGACTATTACGATGTTATTTATTGATCTTTAAATGAGGGACTGATAAGAGGGTCGCTTTAGCAAAACATGTCTATTACGAAAAATCTTTGCAGATATTAAGTTTTAAGAACCGGAGGAACAGGTTCGCTTTTTCGATACGACTGAGTTTTGCGATTTACCGTAATCTAAGATACCATAATTGCTCCTTTAGTGTATTATACACGATATAATATTAGCGTATAGAATTAGCGTCTCCGAATTTATTGCGTCGGCATAAATAACTGTATGCGACGTTAAGATGGAAAAACCTTGCCTGACAAATCGCTTTGAGAACGGCGATCGTGCATACGCATTCGATCTGTCAGTATTTAGAGCGCTTTACGCGTAATACCGTGCCCGGCTTGCAGGAGACACCGGGAATTAATCGCGTGAGAGAGTCCTCAGCTCTCTCTCTCTCGCGGATGAGGTATCGTCGTGGGCGAAAGCACTTACTTGACAAATCGCATTGAAAACGATACCATAACGCAGCAATATCAACACGCATATCCGCGATATCCGCGTGCGGATATGCTCGCAATAGGATAACGGTTAATACCCGCATATATTAATGTACCGAAGATGTCTTTTGAAGCCGGGACGAGCCGGCCGAGCGTTAACGAACGATATTTACGGTATCGCGCCGCGAGATTAATTGCATCGCGATCGCTTATGGCGCCGTGGGCGAAGACATTTGTACCGTGGTTGATCGAATTGAAAACGATAGCGCGGGAGCGGCTGCAGCAGATGATGCCATCGTTTCCCATCGTTGCCTCCGTTACGGCAGCTCTCGATTGAGTTACGGTCATTCCGCGTCTCGGGGCGCGGCGATTCTGTCTCGGCCAAACGTTCCGGAGCATTTTTCCCAGACAATTAATGACGCTGCCCGGCACGCCATCCGCGTAATTCAGTAGCGAGCACCTCAGAGTAGTAAATATTTCTTCACGTATCCTCCCTGCAACCCGTTAACTTCGATCCCCGCTGACGAGACGGCCGCGGGATCCCGCTCCGATCATGACTTGTTCTTGGTTACATCGCCTGCTGATTGCAATTTATATAGACGTGAGCCATTTACGATCGTCCCTGTCGGCTAACTCCGTGTCATCATCTTACGCCTGGGCAGTGTTAATATATTACGTGGTAGAGCAATATGTTACACGCGAGGATCGTTTTATTCCATTTTGAAAGCTTTTCAGCTCTCTACATTCTCAGTATTCCGAACTTTATGTTAGCTGCTTACGTTATGAGATGTCAGCGAATTTCTTCCGTGGAATTTCTCGTCCAACTCATACTTGTTTGATCATGGTAATTTTCATCCTGGACTTATACTATCATCCGACTTTAGTGACTTTATCGTGTCAGAAAAACGAGAGATCTTTATTCGATTCGATCGTTAACGCGACATAGCTCGTAAACGCATCCACGCCTACCTGTATTCGAAAACGCACGCTAACGATGTATAAGAGAATCTCGCTTTTAATCTCTCTATAAGATAGGACAGCCATTATAATAGTGTTGAAATATCAATATTTTGAACAGCAATACAATGAAATAATAAATTACAAAAAAATCTTACTCAAAGAAAAGTTGTAAGATTTTAAAAATGAACTATCTAGAAGTTAAAGCTGGATACACTGGATTCACGTAGAAATGTATCGAGTGACAAAAGGAATGAAATTAATCTCGCTCGTAGACTCACCTGATGAAGGGCCGTGGTTGGATGATGATCCTGTCTGGGCGTCACCGCGTCAGCGCCTATGCCAGAGTCAGGACTGGGAAGATCAACGGTCAGGACTTTGCTGCTACTCGACGACGAGCGTATCGCGTGTGTCGTAGCGTATGAGCTCGGCACGACCTCGTACCTCGTGTACGAAGCAGTCGTGGTGGACAGCGAGGAAGTGGAGCTTGACGAGGCGAGTGGCGGCAATGCGTCACCAGCGACGTAGACCGTTGTCGCCTCCTGATGAAGGCCACCACCCGGATTCGCCGTTGCGTTCCCTGTCCCGGTCGCTGACGTAGACGTATAGGCGGTTGACTGCAATCTAGGACTGCACGACGTGTAGGGGTCGTAAGGGCTGCCATACTGCTGCACCTGTACACCCGTCAATTGCGGTTGACTTTCCACCACGTTCGCATGAATCGCCGCGATTGGCGAGAAGATCGCGGTTTCCCGCGTTTCCATCGTCGCGTTTATACATCTTTTTATGGGGAAAAAAGACCGCGCGATGATGTGGAACTGAGATACGTTGCAATTGTGCAATTTTCGAAATGCGCGGGAAGCGACGTTAGAAGAATTTGAACGATGTTATTTTCTCAAATATTATCTTGCGATGTGCAAATGTTGCGTATTAGGCTATTGCTGTACGTGACACGACGTTTCGGCGAGGATCGTATAGAAGTTACAAATCTTGAGCAATCTTTAGTAATTTTACGCCAAATAAACCACATAACGTTTGAAGTTATTTGAGAATTACAAATTCTATTCTCACCGCATGTGATTATGGGAATAACTTTGTAACGCGAAGAATTGAGAATTCTTGTAGGAATGGATTATTAAATTAATATTCAAACATATTGTTTGAAAAGCGTCGAACTTTTGAAAAGGTCAAAGTAAATGGAATAAACGTAAATAATCACAAACTCTCACGGGGAAGAACTCGTGATTGCACTTGGCAATGATCGTCTGAAATTTACCTGCAACTGATGCGGATGATGATGGTACATTCCCGGTGGTGTGGGACTGTCGGGTTGCGCCTGTTTGTGTCGTTTGCTGGGTTGTTGGCCTCCGCGCGACGAGCTGAGATCTTCTGGTTCCCTCTTGACCCCGACGATGCCGGCGCTCGAGGCACCGTCGTGTCGCAAGGGTTGTGGACTCAGCGGAAGCGGAAGGCCACCCTGCAGGCTCTGGCTAGGACTGTGAGATTGCTGATTGTACTGGAGGAAGTGGTGTAGTTCCCCTCCTCCGGTACCTTCACCGCCTTCCATGCGATTCGTCGAGGCGGAACCAGAGCCAGGCGCCTCTTGCACCAGCAACTTCTGGCCCATCACACCCCTTCAACAGTCCGTGAAAAATTGACCTTAAGTTATAGCTCCTTTTACCGATCACCGACATCGGCATCGATCCGCATCGCGCCCTAAGAACGCGTGACGAATTCGCGCTATATATATCGAGATCGATACAATACAGGCTCATTCGCGTTGCTTCTGTTTGCTTTTTTATGGGGTCCGCCATCTGGACCCTCTGAGCATTTTTGACTGACATCGGCCGCTCAATGAAAAAGTTTGAATTTTTCGCATTCACAAATACCACGACGAGTGAAGAAGAATTACATTTTTTTTTTTTATACATATATCTAACGGAATGGAAACTTCTTCAAAAGTTCAATGAAGACAAAAAAATTTTTCTACAAAATCTCAAATATTAAAAAACTAATCACAATACATAAGTAGAGAGATACATGTTCTCATTATTTTTTAATCTTATTAAAAAATTAATGGATGTATGCACCAAATTTAGAATGAGACATAACTTGAAAAAATAAGATTCTTAAACAGTCAATACAAATGTAAAAAAATTAATAATATATTAATCAATTTTATTAATAGATATCGCTTTATTTAATATAATATGAGTATTGTAGTAGTTTTTATCTTTATAATTAGGAATAACTAATGTTATTTAAATCCTGCGTATTCATTGAAATGATAATTGAATTGGCATCTTCAAAGAAACACAAGAAACGGGTCGTACTTTCTTTCTCCTTTCTCCGTGCCCTGTCGACGGATAAAATCAGCGAGGAAAACCGGCGCTACACTTCCGCTGTGCGTCGCACGCTGCATCTGCCGAATTCGGCAATAAAATTTTCGATGCGCGACGCGCGCGCGAAGAAGCGCGATTCGCCGATCGACTGTACGGGAGAAGAATCGAGAGGATCGCGGTATTATGCGAAGTAGTTAACATGTTATATTTAGCATGATAATACGTATCCACAATACCGGGGACCCTTATAAACTGCCAACGCTTTTAGTGCATTCCCCCTTCCTCCCTTTCATTCTTTTTCTATCGTCTCTTCGTCTTTTCCATCACGAAGGATCCCTCACGTTCCAGTTCTCTCTCTCTCTCTCTCTCTCTCTCTCTGTCTCCTCTTAACCCTTTTCCCTCTAAAAAAAAGTACACATTCCTCTTTCCATCTCACTCCATCCTTTCGCACCATCACCATAGTTCCTACCCTACGGTCAGATGCTTCCGTACAATGATCTTTTTTTACACTTGATACCTGATCTCTCGTCTACTTTCTCTCCTGTTTCTCTGTCCTGCCTTTTCTCGTCTGTCTCGCAATACGAAGGGTGACGGCGAGAGGATGAGAAGTCTCTCGACGACTATCCCGCGTGGTGCGTCTCGGGTCGCCCTCGGCACACTTGTGCCTGAAGAGGTGCGGATATAGGACCCGAAGATCGTGGTCGAGACCGGGGAAAAGACGGCGGGTAAACCCCGGCTATGACTGGAAATCGGGCACGTTCTTTCGGCAAGTAAAGAGAATGCGCCGCCATCACCCGGGGCCATAGCGGCAAAACTTAGGCCTCATGAATTCGGCTTACGTGAAATGGATCCGTTCGCGCGTTCTCCATTCGCGAGAGCGTTTCCCGATAATGCGATGCTAATCCGAGGACGCGCGATGCGAAACGGGATTCGCGTGCGCACACCTTGGGAACTCGATACGCACCCCTGAAAATGTGGGATCGCTAGGTGCGAGGTATCAGATTGCAGACCGAGTCTGCCTGACGTTTTAGGCTCTCGAGAACGTAAGTAGTTCTATGCAACTGTCATCAACACATCATCATCAGAGCTGTCTTGGATTTTACGAAAGTTTTTGATAATTAAAAAAGTATCAGATGACTTGTAACATGTAAACGGTTATCATCTCTAATAATGTGCTCAATAACGATTATCATTAAACTTGGAAGCTTAATGATTCTTGTTGGAACATTGCGTGCTCTGATTTAACATTAATGTCATATATTAACTTCTCGTTCTGGATTAACGGATCATATATTATCAACCCATTGGACTGTACTACATTGCATTGAAAAGAATCCCAAATATGGATCGAAACGTTTGTCTAATTATTGTCAAATAATCAAATAAATTAATATTAAACACATATATCTTCTGTCTGGCTCTTAAAGCAATTATATTTTTATTTGAATTAAAAAAGTATCGTCATAATTTAAAACGTTTTCTTACCTTAAAAAATTTTGAAGACATTCTTCTGGAATCTCTTTACATTCTTGATTCAATTTCATATCAAGGATAAATATTAAATATGTATTGGATCCGTAATCCGCAATTTTTTCGGAATAAACCTTGCCACAATCTTTCGTCGTAGTAACATTAAACGGTGTACAAAATGGAGTATTTTTTTCGTTTCTTCATAGCTGTCGAAGAGATAAGTACTGAAGTTAGTGTCCAGCCGAGAAAAAAAAAACATATAAAAAAAAGCAAGAGAAGTTTAACGTAAAACGAAGAAGAAAGAGTTTTTCGAAGTCGATATTTGTTTTAAATCACTTATTTCGTAGAGCTGTGCATATGTCACCAGTTTTATTTTTATGCGTCCAATTCATGCGGAAAAGATCGATAATGTCGATAGACACATTGTTCAAAATAATACTCAAGCAGATATTCGTAAGTCAAAGTACATATATTAGGTCAGAAGCGTGATAAATCAATGTGTTACAACTTTTTGATAAGACAACGTCTCGGTAAACAACTGGAGATATGTTATCATGACTATAAAAACTTCTAACCAGAAAATTGTTAACTTTGATGTGCGTCTGTGTGCGTCAATTCGTAATTTATGACTTATGAAAATATATACTCGTCAAGTTTTTTTCTCCGTTATTGTTATTGGCGTTGTTATATCGCTGTGTAATGACTTGTGGTTTTACATACAATATATGTAGATGTAGTTAGAAAACTATCAAGCGACTATCTTTTTAATTTCAAAGTGTTCTTTTTTTCTGCACGCAGAGAAAAGATCAGCCAACGCAGCTAAAATGCGTCCTTATAATAGGGACAGTTAATGTTGTTGTTAATGTTGCTGCCAAAGCTCAATTTATTAGCTGCTAAAATTTAGGTGCTGCAGCGAAAAATATTCTCTGCTGGAGTAAAATGATAACTGAGAGCGTCCCAGAAATAATTGCGAATGCTCGGTTACGTGGCTACGATAGTGAGGAATATAATTGTTGCCACTTACTTAGCTACTCGTATTAAGTACGCTTTTAATTTCAACTAATAAAGTTGGATGTCGGCAGCAAATGTATTTTATCTTCAACAGCTAACAATAACAGCAAAGTTTGCCAGCAACTGACATTACTATAATCCTTTTTTTGCGTGGGGCAATATATGAAATATAAACACGACAAAAGGGAGAGAAACGCATTTATGAAATTCCGACGATGTTGACGTGCGGTGTAAGATACCGTTTTTATCGTTCCATTTCTGCACCTCCCAGGAAACGCCAGTCTTCGGCGACCAGCGGAGGAGACCAAAGAAGATCAAAGAGCTACATTCTTTTTCCATTCTTTTTCTTTTTGCGTGGAGAAAATCTTGTTAATTACATCGGTATCTGCAGCGTGTTGTCTTCCACTTCCTTAGAGCTTTAAATCTACCAGAGAGTAACGCAAATCTTTTATTTGAGCCGAATGCCGATAATTTTCTTATAGTCTACTTCGACCGTTATCTTTTATCTGATAGTCTAGTATTGGATCTATCATCATAAGCACTTAGTTAATTCTTGAATTTGATATAGTGATATTAGGGCAAACATAAAGAACTTTTGTGCTACATACTCTGATATATCTAAGGTTTGTTCGCATCGCATGTTCTGACATACTCTAAAATGCTTCTACTATAGCATTTACTCACTCTAACGCGCTCGTTGAAGCGAGTAAAAGCTATAACAGGGGCACATTGGAGCATACTGAAGCATGTAACGCGAACAAATCTCTAGAATCTCTTTCTGAAGGATCAATACGCGCCGCGCACAAATTCGTGCTTCTTGCGAGTCGTTCGTGCTGCAAACAAATAAATTATCACCGCACGTCGCGTTATACAGTCTACTGCATTCCATCGTGTTTTTTTTTTTTTTTTTTTTTCACTACTTCGCGTCTCCGCTGTCCATCGCACGCGGTGACCGCGCAACCCAAGTACGAGTGCAAGAGGCAATTACGTGCTTACGGTGCAGTATTATCGACGACAAGGCTTTCACCCCGGTGGCGGCAGCGGCAGCGGCAACGGCGGCCCGACATGTGAACCCGCAGGTCGCCGAGGTTACCGCAGGGTCACGACATGCATGGCCATTTGTACGTAAGTACGCGATACGCGCACACGAACGCAGTCTTCGTTGAGCGACCTACGGCGTCGGGACGCTGCTTGCGGTACCGAGGCTGCGGATCAGGCTCGCGGTAAACCCAGGTTCGGAACCGGAATCAGGCATTTCTTAAACCGGAAATCGGGCGTATATCGCTGCGAACGCGTGTGCGCAGCGTCATGAGCGATGGACCTGTCTGTATGTGGCGCGAGACGAAACTCGAAAGACAGGTCCGACAAAGTGGCGCTCTACCGACTCTGCTCGCTCGGGTCACTTCTTTGATTATTATTGCCGGTTTGCTTTTTTTTCCATCTTGCGTTTGCCGCTCGCTCGCTCGCGCGCGTCTACGACTTTTTGTGCCTTTACGAGCTCACGCATGCACGCACGTCGGCACCTGTGCTTGTAGCATGTGCCGCCGTGTCGCGGCAATGTCAATGTACATATATATATATATGTGTGTGTACGCGCGATGGACGGTCGGAAAAGAAATTTAGATGCGTGCGGCGTGGCCTGCAATGATGGTCTGCCACTACTCACGATGACCGCCGCGTGACTTTCCTAGTGCTTTACTTCCTAGGATTATCGTGCATTTCCTGGAACACGTTACTGTCGGTGACTTTCGGGAATTATGAAACGTCCTTTGATCTTAATATCGCATGAGTTTATCTATGTTTTTTTGTAG